AATGTAAAGAACCTCTACTACAAAAATCTAATGTAGTGTATCGCATTAAATGTGCACAATGTCCCACTGTACGGCCAAACAAAACAATATTTATCCGAACGGGTGCGGCAACATAAGTATGATTGCAATGATGAAGAAAGGCCGGGAACAGCACTATCCAAACATACACACGCTACGAAACATAATTTTGACTTCGATGGAGTCAAAATTGTGGCTTCTGAACAAAATACAGGACGTAGACTTTTGAGGGAAATGATATCTAGTCATCAGGACAACATGGCCTGTAATTTAAAAACAGATTTGAATAATTTAAGTGTGATGTACAGTGGGATCCTAGAAAAAGATAAGGTCTCTCCCAAAAGATCGTAACAATACTTGCGTACATATTTATTTATTTATTTATATATTATAACAGGCTGTGATAACATAGAATTATCAATGTATTAGAAAAAGATCTTGTTTTTAAAAATTGTGGGAAATGATTGTTATCATTAGGTGATAGCTCCCACCTGATAACGTGATAAACACAATTTTCTAGTCAAACGCCTGTGATATTTATGTACAAAAAGAATATTATTTATTAAGTAATTGTTACTGGTTTTAAAAAATGCCTATATATATAAGAGGCTGTTAAGAAGAGGTTTTTATTTATTTATTTATTTATTATATATGTATATAGTTTATTTATATACATATCGTGGAATGTGCAATGTGTTTACGATTTGACTTTGTATCTGTAATAACAAAAAACTGATATTTTATAACTATTTATACAATTTATAACTGTCTAAATGATTATGATGATTCCCGGAAATTTCCGTAATTTTGTTAACATTTGGTGGCATTGTGTTACACATTTTTTTCAGCAAAATCTAGTTTCAGAAAAAATATTTAAAAATGCAGGTTCTCATTTTTTTATATCTACGCAAAATTATAAAGGGAGTTACCATTGGTCACTTTTTTATATCTGTTCAAAAAATTCGTAAACTCTGCTAGCGCAAGTTAAAAAAGGCACCTTGTGTAAGCCAAACCTTGTCCTAAAAAATAAATTCGGCTGTGCAGTTGTGTTAAGAATATCAATCATCATCACTTAAAAAAAAGTAAAAAAGGGTGATGATTGTATAGTTTTATTTATGATGAAATCAGATTAGCAATAATATCCGTAAGTCAATTATTGCTTCAAATGAACAGTGTTCATTGTCCCACTAAAACCCATCCTTGATTTTTCCACATCCCAGCTTGTCTGAACTGTGGACAAATTCCCTGCCGCAATCAAAGCTAGATTTGCTATTTAAATGGGGAGTACATTTACATTGGATTACCCGATTTTAAAGGAACTTTTTATGATGATACTAGTTTGAAAAATATTAGACACGTGTCCGAGCGTTCGTTTCAATTCGCGCTAGAAGTAGAGATATAAAATAATAATAATAAAGAGTAATTTTGTAGTAATTTATATAATTTTTTTTAAATGTGGTTTTCTAAATTTATTGTGCACATTAAGGCACCTAGTTTATTCGTTATTCTAAGTAGGTTAAGAAAATAATAAATATTTTATGGAAAGACGTTAGGTATAATTTATAACATAAAGTTACAAAGCTTCAGGAGTCTCCGTTGGTTTATCTGATGTTAACCCCATGCAGGAGGATGAACGGCGCCCACACATCCCTCCCAATCTCGGAATACGGGAAAACATGCGGCAGGATCATCTGCTGCCAATTCCGAAGTCCTGCGCGCTCAGCCCTTTTCTGCCCTACGTACCATTTATGAGTAGTTAATGGGGCAATCATGATTCTTAGTGGTTACCAAAATCAAAACATGCTTCTAGTAAACTGGTCAAAAAACGTGAATTTCAAAAACAAAAAATCGTATTCGGTTTAACCACCCTTTAAAACACTTAAATACTAATTTACTAATTTTCAAAGTCAAAAAATACTGTCATGAAATTCACGACAATTTTTATTCAATTGACTTTTTGTTTATCTTTTTGTTATGTTGTAATTTTCAAGTTAAATTATTATTATTAACAATGAAGTAAACCTTATTAATTTTCAAACAAACAATAATTTATTTAGAAAAAAATCTTATTTTTTATTTGTTTAAATTGTTCAGTCGAGAAAATTTTATTAATTTGTTATTTCGATTTGTATTATATAAAAATGTAAATAGTTCATTTGCCAAATAGTTTGAAAAACTAGCGCTGCTTTCGCCATAACGTGTAGTAGCTTGAAGGCAGTCGTAGAGTCTACTTCATATAAACTATCGTTAACAGGTTGGCAAAAGAAAATATTTTAATTCTTTTTTGTATGATTATTTTGATTGAGATTTTTTTATATTTTGTTTCGAAGATTTTGAGTTTGTTTGTTTATTTTTTAAAAAGGAATATAATTNTTATTTATTCGCTGAATGTAGCTCTGGATTTTCTTTGTACTTCAACATTATTAGAACCGTTCAAAGTTGACATTCTATTCTTTCAGATTAGATCAACATGTTTACAATGTTTGTCATAATAAGTGAAAAAAATAAGAACGAAATGAACAAACTCCCATCGAAAATTTTATTTTATATCTCCAGTTCAATTTATGCTATTAGATATAAGTTGTACGTTCATGTAATATATCCTGTAAATCCGCGGAGTCGTTTCAAAGTTATCACTATTTTTGTGATATTCGAAAAAAATCAGAAGCGACAAATTTGATTTAAAGTTTTACATTTAAATTAGTTTGCGAGCACGTACAAAATTTAGGGATATACTAAATTAACACGAAAGCAGTGAAATAATTCTATGAGAATTTTGAGAAAAATGCTAAAACTAAGATCAATTACGAAAAAAATATCGGATAAAAGTTTTTAAAGTTAAAACCGAGATTCATTAAGATTTAAAATAAGTTTCAAGTCGATTTTTCGCTAATTAATCTTCTTTTAATACAAAAAACATGTTAAGAATTTATTTTCTTTTGTTGCCGAACTACAGATAATTTGACCATCACACCAGTGAATTTGCACCAATTTTACAAATTGTGAAATACTGGTATGCGAGAAGTCTGTGGCCATGATTGGTGTATTAAATAATAAACTCCTGAAGATGACAGACTGCGTCTGAGAGACAAATTCGTTGATAATAGATGTTTGAGACGATCAAACTACAAATAACAGATAAATGTTGTGGAATTATGTTTTAAGCTGTCAGTTATTTCGTCTACGTTTGATACGAGAACCTTTGATCCCACCTACTGCCTGCATAAGAAACATCCTTGTGACTTTACACAACTGAACGAGCCTGAACATGGAGATTCTCAGCCAACAATTTCTGTTTGACGACAAATTCTCCCTTTTTGAGTATATGTATCAAAATTTAATAAATTATAACTTAATTAATTAATGTTAATATAATATTAAGACGAAGGAAAAATACACCAATCTTTCAAAATTCACCAATTAAATCAACAATGTTCCCAAATAATAAACTAAAGCTAAATTCCTACTATTCTAAGCAATATTTCGAAAATTTGTTGACACTGGATTTGCATAAAAATGAAAAAAAAGAACAGCTTAGGCGTCTTCGCTTCCCCTAATTGGCCAATTACGCAAATAATAACGTAAAAAAATGCTGTAGAATTTTAATGGCAATAATAATTATTTGGAAATCGTTAGATGCGGTCTGGTGTGACGTAGGGTTTAGAAAAACATTTTCTTTATCGTGCCAAGGTTTTGATCTTTATTGGGATCATCTTCAGGTCCTGGGATTTATAAACATTGTCACTAAACACCACACAATGGTAATAATATTATAATAGTAGCTAAAAGAATTTATTATGGATTGAATAAAGATATAAAAAGCAATCGGAACAGATATTACTACTATGCAATATGATATCAATGACAACACACAAGCTTCCTTTTTGTCAGCAAGCCAAACATTTTGTAGAATAAATGTAAGTAATTCGTAATTGTGATGTCAACACAAAATAATTTAGGACGATCTATAATGCAGTATTGCAATAAATAAAAATAATAAACGTACTATATTTTGAGAGTAACGAATATGAATTAAATGCGATAACGGTCAAAATTTCATGTGTCAAATAAATTCTAACAATTCTCTTCTAAGAGATACTAAATTTTAATAATAATGATTATTGATGAATTTGTATCTAATAATGTAAACAAAACCAAAGTTCACAGTACTCTTTTTAAAAGAAAAATGTGAAATCAACTTCAAATTTAGGAATTTGACGAGAAAAATGAAAAGCATACAGATATTTTTGGAGAATTGAGTGTGAATTGATTGCAAAATTTGTCAACACTTCAATTATAACTAATATTTTGTAAAAAAAAAATACGAAATTTTCTATCAACTTGCTTTTAATAACAATGAACGTTTGTAAATGTTTTATTAATAATGTAGTCAAACCTCAAGTTCGCAGAAATTTTAAATAGAAGCATGTGATTCACCTTACATATAGACTATACTGGAATAATATCCTGATAATTGTGAAATATGCAGGGCGCAAAGAATTGGCGAAATTTGCCAAAATTTTATTTACCAAATCAGTTCTAACAAATATTTTCTCAGAATTGGGAAATTTTCTGTCACTATTTAATGACAATGACCTAGCATAAAAGTGAAAATATGTAATCAAACCTCGTCCACAGAAATTTTAAAAAGAAGCGTGTGATTCAGCGTACAATATAGAAATTTAACAAGAATATTGGGATAATATTCTGTTATTTTTGAAGTATGGAGTGCGACTTGAAATAACGATAAAAATCAAGACAATTATGTGAAAGAGGTTGGGACTGGCGTCATTTCGACACCGTTTCGTTGGGACCCGACCGTTGACCCTATTCAATCAACAGAAGAAAAAATTATATACAAATAACTCTTGGGATGTGCATCGCAGCGAGATTGAACGCCATCCAACAACTGGTTTAACGACTTGGCAAAATTAATGACAGAACAAAGTGTAAATTGTTTAGCGAGGTAAAGGGCGGGTTACCTAGGGCAAGAGGCCGGCCGGTACTGGTATTGATTGTTGGTCGGATGCTGCGTGAGGCATCGCTTCTCCGAACGTAAGACTGGCTCGCCCAGGGCGGCTCGATTCCAATCTGGTTCCGGTGGACGATTGAACAACGTGACGTCCTCGAAAAACGGCAACAACTTCAAATCCCGGGTTCGAAAGCGCCCGCCACGGAACTTCGACTGGACTTAGCGTCGTAATGGATCAGCGACCGGTGAAGCTTGAAGGAGGGGGATCGCAGACGGATTGGTGGGGAGCTCCCCACCAAATAACCGACAAACCCGGCCACCCTTGCTTTCTGCTCACCTCACTGCTCACCTTTCTACTGTACGTTCGAACAACCACGCTCACGGTCGCCGCGCTTGACCGTTTTTTTTTTCTTCTACATGGTTTATAAAGGGACGGCGAAAAGAAATTTTCTAGTGGACAGAGTCGATTTAGTGGACACCCTTTTAATTGGAAATTATCTTGGACCAATTATCTTGCATTAGCCACTTATAAATTGGTTGTTACCGTTTACTTTGGACGGCCTATCCTCGCTACTCTCCAAATGGAGAAATCTGACAATTCTATTACGATGTTCCTTCTCTATTTTTTTATATGTATTACCATGCATTACACACACTGATGACGAGCGAGCGACAGATAGAGAAAGTGTTCAAGAGATAGAGGGTGAAAAAGGAAGAAAAAGAAAAAAGCATGAGAATGAATGAGGTAGGGATAGGATTGGAGAAAAGAAAAAGAGAAATTTTGAAAAAAGAACCATGAGCCATGAGAAGAAAAGATATATTAGAGAATGATATTCCGTAAAATAAAGAGAATGAGAGAGAGATTGATGAAGTGGGATAGGTAGACAGAGATAGAGAGATGAAGATATATATAGTTTTATATATATAGTTATGTTAGACTTTTAAGGTCTTTTTTATGAAACAATTAAAATACAATTTTAACAAGTACAATAATAATTGTAATTTTTTTTTATTATACCATTATTTTAATAAAGGGAAAAAATTAAAAATAAAAGGCACTGTAAGGGAAACAGAATTTATTCTCTCCAATTATTTCTTCTTTTTTAAATTATATTTACACTCTTCCTTCTTTTAAAATTGAATCTTCAAACTTAAATCTTTACAAAAAATAAAATCAATTACTCTTGAAACAATATTAAAAAAATTAAAATATAATTAAGAAGTATTTAAACTGTTGTTAAAAATAAATGAATTCATAATATTTATGTATGCGCAATCCCCAAGGAATAAAATTAAGGAAATATGGAATAGGAAATAACTCACACGATGAATGCTGTTTTCCTGATGTTTTCTCATAAGATGATTCTTCACAAGCCAAGTTGAAGCAGCTACGTTCGAGGTGGTTTGTTCGCCGTCTCCCCATGGAATGCCTCCTGTCCACAGCCTTTCAGCACTTTTGTCTCCCACGAGTTCCAAAGTCCATCACCTCCTTCTCGTTCATTTCAATTTGTTTGTTACAGTTATATATATATATATATATATAGAGAGAGAGAGAGAGAGAGAGAGAGAGATAGAGAGAGAAAGAGAAGGAGGGAGAAAGAGAGCGACAGAGAAGAAAGTGATGAATAATATGAATATAAATCGAGGGTGAAATAAAGAAAGGGAGAAAGAGAGAATGAGAAAAAAAGCGTGAGAATGAATGATCTAGAGATAGTAATGTAGAAAGGAAAGAGGGAAATTTTGTCGAAAGAACCATGAGAAGAAAAGACATTTTAAGGTAGAAAAGAGAAAGAATGAGATTCCGTAAAATAAAGAGAACGAGAGAGAGAGAAAGAGATGAAGTGAGATAGGTAGATAGAGATAGGGAGAGAGATGAATGAGATCGAGTGTAAAAAAAAAAAAATAAAGAAAGGGTGAGAGCTTGAGAAAGAAAGAGATACTAAGAAGAGAGGTTGAGATTACGTAAAATAGGGAGAGAGATGAAAAGGGAGAGGGAGGAGAGTGAAAACATAGATAGGGTGAAAATGGAATAAAGATCGTGAGAAAGGAAGCAAAGAATGATAAGAATAAGATAAAATAGATAAGAAAGATAAGATATTAAGGCAGAAAAGATAGATAGATAGATAGATAGATAGATAGAGAGAGAGAGAGAGAGAGAGAGAGAGAGAGAGAGAGAGAGAGAGTGAGTGACAAAGAGAGAGCGATGAAAGGAGATATATAAATCGAGTGTGAAAAATTAATAAGGAGAAGGTGAAAGCTTGAAAATAGAAGTATGAAAAAGAAAGAGATATTAAAGGAGAAAAGATGAGATTAAGAGTAAAAAAGAAAGAAAGAGGGAGAAAGAAAGTGAGAAAAATTAGCAAATGAAATATCTAAATTAAAATTTAAAATGTTTAAATTGAAAAAATCAATTTCCTAAAAACAGTTTAACATGCAATTTCTTTGTAACTTCAATAAACTTTTTTAACGTTTTATAACCTTTTAACAATATTAAGTATGAATATGTGTTAGGGGAAAGTTGAGGATTTTGATTGTTTTTGCAAATATTTGCTGGGTCAAACCTTTAAAAGAAGCTTTGCCTTGCTACAGTTTGTTTCATTCTGGTCGAACAGACCGAAGCGTTTTAATTGCAAATCTCCTTCTCTCTACAAAGCTGTTGAGTACAAAGTTGAGAATCAATAGCACCGCCATCCGTAACTACCACAAAGTGCTAAAAGCACCAACTATAATATATTGCACTGCCACCAAAGGTAATGCATGAGCTTTATTCTGTTTCCCACTTGGTTGGTATGGCATAAGTTTTTTAAGAGGTTTAACCAGTGAGAAGACCGGAAATCGTGATTTTAGCTAAGAAACATAAAACTGAACAAACAGAATAGTCAAATAAAAACAACAACAATATTTTTTTCGTATTTTCATTCATAAGAACCATTTTTAAGTTTCACAAAAACGATAAATTTAAAAAGAAATTGATATATTATATTAGGCTCAAATATAAATTTTGCATAACATTTTAAACATTTACAAACTGAGCGAATAGAAATTTGTCTACTTCTTGTCAGAACCGATTAACGCCCTTTAAGTAGAGCGAGGATACCAGGAACAAAGATAATCAATACTATTAAACAACAGGCTGCCTAATGTTTATTTATGGACCTGCAACGTTTTCACAAAAGAAAATTCATAGGCGATATTTTTTGTCAACAGGAAATAAACCTTATTTATATTGCTCTGAGTTTGATGTACCCACTGATGTCCTTCAGCTCAAACCAATCTGGCAATATCTGAAATGGCAAGGCCATCTTAGCCAAACTATGTTACACTCATTTTCTACATTTTGTTTTTTTCTCTAGGTCAGTTCGCTAGAATTTTCGGTCTGATTGCAGGGAAATGTTATGCATACATGCCTACTTCCAAACCTGACAGATATTACTAACGTCAACTCCTTCCTTGTTACAACTGTGTTTAACATAAAAGTAATATTGCCATTTTATGTTTTGAAATGCGGTGTTTTAAATGCTTAACTAGTGTGTATTAATTAGGTGTAGATGTAAAACCTGTTGAGCACTAGTCGCTTGCTGTGACCTTTCTTCCTGAGTTGTTTTTCCTTGTAAATATCACTTTTAGTTTTCTCTCTTTCTCACTCTCTCTCTCACCTTTTCTCCCTCCTCCTCTCTCTTTCTCTTCAGGTTCAGTCTCTCTACTTCGTTCTGCCACTTAAGCTTTTTTTGCTTTTATCTTGCTCTTGTACTCACTCCTTTCTCTTTCCCCCTCCCTCTCTCTGCCTCTCTCCGACGGTATCTATCTATCTATCCATCGATCTAACTTTCTATCCATCCGTCTCAGGTCACTCTCTCTCTCTCTCTCTCTCTCTCTCTCTCTATNTATATATATATATATCCTTAACTCACATATATTCATAACTCAACTATATCTGTATATATTTCTTCATCTCCCCCCCCGCTGTTAATTGTTAGTAACTTATAGAGTCGAACTTGATTTTATATAATGGAGATCCATGTTTTCTCTTTATCAGTCTTCTTTCTCACGTTTATATATGTTTGTGCAAATCTTTCCTTAATCTTTATTCTATTCTCCCTGAAACGCTACCGTTCAGCGATACTGGGAATGATTTAACGAGGAAATTGGCAACAGTGTCGACAATTTTCTCATATTTCGTCTGCGATAAATGCGACATAAGTTGATAATATTTATAATCTGTCAACGAGTTTCTAGATTATAAAGCTTTCTTTTGTTTTCTGACTTTCGGTCGGGCATTTTTTCCGTCTTTGCCTTGACTTCCCTCTGCCGTCCTTGTATTTCATAAGGTTTTAGCTGGCATCAGGTGAACGATCTATGGCAACAAGGTGTTGGCCTGGTGGGAGATCTACGACCTTGTCTTTTGTAAGTCGCAGATATCTGAGAGCTGAACAAATCTCCCACTCACGGTTCTAACAATGGACATTGTGAATCTTTCATAGCGCCCAACCGAGATAACGATTCGAAGAAAAAATGTATGAATCTTGCAATAAAAGCATTGTTTATGAAGTGACGTCTCGTTCACTTTATTTATTCTTCTTATTTATATTATTAGTTATTTAATAAATATTTCATATTATAAATGATATATATAAATCTTGATATCTAAGTTATCATTTATTGATAATATTGTTATTTTATATTGTATATTGTGTAAATTGTATCCTTCACTGTTTCATTTTCACTAGGCACGTAAGTTTCTTTTATTAAGTGTTAACATAATTTTTAATATTTGTTGATTTTTTTTATACTTTTAAGTCATAACATCTGAAGAGAGAGAGAGCGGGCAGCACTCGAAATCGATCCTTGTTAAAAAAATAAATAAATAAAGACTACATTTTATGAAAGCGTGTTTTTGCTTATCTACGTCTGTGGAATAGAGTGGATCAAGATAAAAAATAAACTTTCATTTCATCCTCGTCTTATAGAGATCTCAAACGACGAACAAGAAAACGAGAAAAGAAAATATTTGAAAAATCACAATTTTTTTAATATTACATCATTCTACTGGTATCAGTAGGTACAAGAAAAGACACAATTTTACTTAATCTATTTTAAGCTATTGAATCTTAAGTTAAAAACCATATCTGGCAAGGTAAACAAATTTTGAATGAAAAACTAAACATTTACGTATTTAACGGTTTCCCGATGACAAATACCACACACAGCAAAGTACAAAGGGGATAATTATACATAAATTTAAAAAGATTTACGATTAAAATTTTTTTTTAATGAATTGAAAAATTTGAAATCTGTATTAAAATTATCTAATTATTTTTTATTTTATGTGTGCCCTATACATATTAGTATGTATAAGAATATGATCAGAAACGTTTTTTCTCATGGTCACAGCACTAACTTGCCACCGCTGCACCCGGAGGACCCATGCCTTGGGAAACTAGTCATTCCTGGCAAATTATGGAAGAAAGAGGTCTCGAAGCCATCTTGATTAAGGCAACGTGACAGGTTCTCAGGATGGAACTGTGTACATAGAGCTAGGATTAGGATGGATAGAGAGGTTGGGTTGAAATTTTGGGAATCGGGTACGATTAGTTCGTTGACAAAAGGAATATTGAGGTCATAGTAGATAGTGAGGTTAGTGACGTGGTAACAAGCTTTGACGATTTGTCCGAGGACTTTTGATTAGAAGAAATGGGTGCACTGAATGTTAGATGACTTGGCAGAAAGTACCAATCCGTATATCTAAAGTGGTCGCAGTAATGTCTGGTTTGAGATAAAAACTTTTATTAAGTTTTACGAAAGCATGTTGAAGTTCTATGCAGTAATAAACATAATTAATTTTTAAGAATGTTTTTAAATGATTCGCGAAAATTATGGTCATAACGGATGGCAGAGAATCGGAGGTATCGCTTATATAGATTTTCAAAAGAAAAGGCCCCAAGTGCGACCCTTGAGGAACTCAAGAAGATCCTACAAAACTATGTGGAACTACCGATTTTGATTTTACTTTAAGCATTTGATCTTCTAAACAGCATGCAAAATAAGTTACCGTGTATGCCTAATTGCTGAAATTTCTGCGGTAGAATCGTATGATCAACACTATCCAAAGCTTTGGAGAAACCTGTATAAATACAATTGTAGCTCTTCAGAAAACGTTTGTAATATAGTCTTGAAATATTAGTAAGTTGGTTAATGAAAACTATTTTGGTTTGGTCGACAGGAGAATTGATACGATACAAAGCTCTTGCACAACTTCTTGACGAAAGATCTGATTCTCTCAAAAATAAAAAGGCTGCTTTACCACACCATGGTTAAGCCTATTTGGACTTACGAACTGGGATTTCGTGGTCCGCTTGATCAATTAATATATTACAATTAATTAAGGTTTTTAGTTGAGATAAAAAAGTCAATGGCACGAGCGGGATTCGAACCCACGATCTTCGGCTTGTTACGCCGCTGTTCTACCACTTGGGCTATCGTGACCTCGATCCACTCGGACACCAACTTCCCATCTCAACCGCACCTTTTGAATTTTCCCTCCTTTTTGCCATTTCTCAAATGTCGTGTAATCGGGTTGGATTAATTGTAATATATTAATTAGTCAAGCGGACCATGAAATTAGTGAACTCATAAGTACTTTCAAATAGGTAACATGTAAGAATGAGGTAGGAAATATATACAAAATTAAAAACAAGAGTGAAGAAAATATGCATTGGTAGTGATCATGAATGATACTAAAATGTAGTCTGTGTAATTAATAATTGATTAATAATAATTATCACTTTCACTATCGTCATTTCGCGGCCATCTTCTCTTCAGTCGGCGAGGAGGGTTCCAGGGAATCGTCGCCCTGTGAAGTTTCTGATGTGCTGATTTTTCCAGTGGTTGCGATGGTTTTGTGCAATTTGCAGATGGGAAGTTGGTGTCCGAGTGGATCGAGGTCACGATAGCTCTAGTGGTAGAGCAGCGGCGTATCAAGCCGAAGATCGTGGGTTCGAATCCCGCTCGTGACATTGACTTGTTTATCTCAACTAAAAACCTTCATTAATTGTAATTATGTGTATTACAAATTAAAAAAGAAATAAAAAATTGAAAAATATAGACTTTAACGTGATGGCATATTTAAATGCATATTCAAATAATAAACGGAAAAAGGAACAAAAATTTGAAAATCGTATTTTATTTCAGGATGGAACTCGGAATATGGGACATTCGTGCGCGCGTTCGTGTGTAGTGTTTTGCTGTTATTCCGTATATCAACGTTATTTTGATAAATGAAAACTTGCATAACTTAAATAATGTTCTCGTTTTATCGGTCAATCTCAATAGAACAATTAAATTAATTTAAATCTGCAACAATGATTTGTTTTTTAGTTTGTTGCCCCATCCGCAAATTGTTTCAATAAAATGAATAAATATTTTCTTTCCCTGTTGGCACCCCTGTGTAGTAGACAATTTGCTACCACTTTTAAAACAGTCTTAAGAAGGTTTCAATCGTGAACAGCGTATTACTTTATTGGCTAATTTTCCAGTAATTTTTTATTTTTATTATAAATACTATGGGTGCTGGGAAGCTATCTTTGCAGAATATCAATCCGAAGTTGTTCTTAAAGAGTGACAAAAGGTGTGAGACAGCTGACGACTGGGACGAGAACGTCGTCGATGATTTCGACGAGAGGGAAGTCTTTGGTAAATATCTATTTCAATATCCATCATAAATGCATTATTCCAGTGTGTAAATGAATAATTGAATTATTTTTAAAGATTTGATAAGGAATATTAATGATCCAGAACACCCTTTGACTCTAGAAGAGCTCAATGTTGTCGACATAAACAATATAGAGGTTTGTACCTCAGGAAATCAATTTTGTTTCATTTTTATGTAATTTGAATCGTTGACTTTTTGTCTAAGGTGGACAATGAAAGCAACAAGATAAATGTTAGGTTTACACCGACGATCCCTCATTGCAGTATGGCAACACTCATCGGACTTACGATCAAAGTCCAGCTGATTCGATCACTCCCAGCAAGGTTCAAAGTAAGTGTGAAAATCACTCCAGGCACTCATTCGACAGAAGATGCTATCAATAAACAACTCGCAGACAAGGAACGAGTATCCGCAGCCATTGAGAACAGTACACTGGTTGACACTATAAACCAGTGTTTGGCCACAATAGAAAAGTATTATAATTAACAACTTCCTCTGCTGTTGTCTTTTAAAGCCTTTCTTTATTGTTAAGCTATACATATAATATATTCTTTGTTATTGCATGTTGTATTGTTCAGGGAAACCTCTACTCCCAGTAAATCCTGTTTATTATTATTTAATTTAACAAAGATGAATAAGTGCATAATGTAAAAAACCGCACTTTTGTATAAGCTGTATGAATTAAGGGTCTTAACTAAAATGGTTAATTGTATAAAAAAACTTGTATTGTACCTCAGTTTCTGTCTTGTCCTCTGTTCTTCAATAGTTTCATTCATTCCTCTCAGTCCATTTACAAATAGTCCTCATCCCGGACTGCCCCTTCCTTTAGATTGCCCATCATTTCACATATCAATGATCTTGCTAATTCCCTTAAATATTGCACAAATTGCCTTTACCCGGACTTCCAAACCTATCTCTTATTTGCACGTCATGACCTTCAAATGTTGGATAGTTATCCATCATCCTAGACTGCCTAGCCTCATTGATTTTTGTTAATTCAGACACATTTTGGATTCACAACACCTTCAGAGTTTGATTCCATAAAAATCACCCAAACTTAAGATGGCGAAATGCCAAAATGTGCCTGAGTCAGCGAGGTTAGGTGGACTAGTATGATAGGTAATGGTAAAAAAATAATAATAAAATAAAATTACCCTCCAAAAGATTATTACTTTGCTAGGAAATTTAATTGGATGCTTACCTATCATTTTGGTTTGCTTATTCTTGCTGGGTTTGTCTGTCAGATGCATTTCGGCATCTTGCATTTGGCTTCGGGTCTGGGTGATTTTTATGGTGTCAAGTCTCAAAGTTTTGAGGAGTGGGGTGAGTGTTTTGGCGTTAACTTTGTTGATATCTTCACCACATTTTCAAGGTTAAGATGGTAGAAATACCGAAATGTGTCTGACAGACCTGAACAGCAAGGATAGGCAGACTGAGATAATTAGCAAGGATCAAATTACAAGTTTGTCACTCCACAGGCCACTGAAAAAAATTTCCCTAGAAAATTAATGTTCTGGCCCTAACATTTGCTCATGATACAGCGATCCTCTCAAATAACTCTAATCCAGTCATTTTTACTAGAAACATTCAACATCTTACGCTACTTCTTGGTGTGAAAAGAAGAGATAAAATTCAATTGAGAAGAATTCACCCATATAATCTTCACCATATTTTTTAAAAAGATTGTTTTTACTTACAGTTTGTTGTTTTCAGCTATCCAACCTTAAAGCTTCTCATCAAGTTGAAAGACTTACAACCACATCTCTTGAAATGAACTTCAACCGCCAATACACTGCCAATGCAACGTTCCAATGAGAAAAGTTTTTATAGTTGATCAAGTTTGAATGTGCAAAAAGCGGGATTTGAAATTTTGTATTATCATTAATGCATTAATATATTATTTTAATTTAATTTTAATTTTTATTAATTAATTCATGTTCAAAATCGAGCAGCAATAAAAACCAGTTTTTCATTGGAATGTCGTATTGGTGGGGGAGCAGCAGGTTCACTCTTATAGTTTATATCGAGAGAGGTGATTGTAAATCCTTCAATCTCATGGTAAGCTTTAAGCTTGAAATCTGTATAGATGAAAACAAAAAACTGTGAGTACAACCTTTTACAAAAGATTAAACAACATATCACCCCATCTTTATCATTTCTAATGTCCTTCACCATCCGGGGGAAAAAAATCCCTGCTCCATTTTATTTCAATAATGTCCCTCTCCCAACTGCAGGCAAGGTTCGGTACCTAGAACTGTACATCAATAAAGGCTTGATGCAGAATCCACACACATAACTGAAACGTCAAGAAGTTATGACATGGTACAGAGTACGATCATGTCTTATTGGCAAATGCTGTAATTTACCATTTACAAAAAAAAGCTTTTTTTTCAAGATGACCAATCCAAACCCGTTGGTACAAATTTCATATAACCCTCCTAATGGCCTAAATCCTCAAATTTAAAAACTCACATACTGAAGAGGACATTGCCGTGAGATCTCATAGCCAGTAACAGTGATAGTGATATTAGTCTCCATTAAATAGATTTTATTAGATTCTAAATTACTTATAGTGCCAAAAACGATATGATTTTCAAGATACCGTGTTATGGTGCTGGTGTTACTAAAATTTTGATTGAATATGAAGAAGGTGGGATCCAGCTAGGGGAGGACTTACAAGTAATTGCTGCTGGGCGGTTGGTTGGAACTTACATTGTCTTGAGTTGTATGTTGGCGACTTATCACCTACAGCTTATTACTTCTTTAAATAGTATTTAAATTAAGTTGTTCTGACTGCTTACTCATAACTTTGGAATTACTGATCAACAACTTATTATTGGACACAAATATGTATATTAACTATATGTATCTGATGATTGTGAGAAAAGGCATTGTAGTGTATGACATGTGTGATTTCTAAGATAGTGGTGATTTATTGTGGGACACGAGAAGGACATTGGCAAAAATGGAAAGGTTAAAGGACATGAGTGTTGAATCTAATGCTAGCTGAACTTACAAAAATTATATTTGCATCTTAATACATAGCAATCAAGAAATACAGTATATAATAAAAATATTTAACTTTGGTGTGCGTTTATACAAGTAGATTGATTATTTTGAAATTATCAAAATTTTTCTTTTTTCTATTCAACTTATTAAAACTAATATTAATACGACATAAATAGGGGATGGTGCCATTTCCCCCCATAATAATTAATAATTATTATTAATCAAGTATTTTAATATAATAATTATATAATTAATAATTATAATGTGTAGAATGATTTTACTTTTTCAATATTTCTGATCCACCCCCCATGGGAAAACAAATGCCACACACTCTAGTTAAAAATATAACAAAATTTAGTTATAGAAATACATTAAAAACAACAATTTATCTACACTATTATCTTTCATAATATAACATTAATATTCTTACATCCCTGCATTAAGGAACCAGAGAGAATTCAGTAGTTCGTTAAAAGTTTTAAAGTTAACAGTTTAAACAAAAATTTGTCCATTAAAATAAACTGGTAAATAATTTAGCAAATAAATCATGTCATATTAATGGTTTATGAAATAAAATGAGCCCAGAGGCAGAATTATTCCTTTCACAGTGCATTTAAAAAACATTTTGTACCGCTCTTCCTGTAATGTCCAAACAGGTTGTTTTTATGAGATCACATATTTTTTAAACATCTTTTTCATTTTTTTACAACATGGCACAGTGTCCCAGGTGAATGACAGTCTCACATAGCACAAATTGTCACACTAAATTGAAATGAACCCCTATACGGAGCTGGGTTTACGCTGCCTCATATTGTTCATGTGAAAACCCCTGTTGGCACCTTGGAATGACCTCCTGCCTAATCTATTAATAGAAAGCCTGTTCTCCTGCAGAACTTCTTGATTCCTGCAACAACCACAAAAGAAATGTTAACACTCTCAAAAATACTCATTTTTATATTTAAAAAAAATGTTTCAATAATTTAAATTTACATGATGTGATTAATATGTTGTGACACTAAATAATTAGAAATTTCATAAATGTTTTATGTATACCAAATTCTATCAGTTCATTAAATAATTCATCACTTTCATCTCAAGTTTATAGATGAGTGCCGAAGCATAGGGGGTAAGTTAAGACTGCAGGGATGAAATAAAGTGTGGCCAGAACGTGCAATTTGAGTTATTAGAACAACAGTAAATTGTAGAATTTATCCTCAGAGACAATGGTTTGCTTGTTTCCAGTCATCCTCATTTGTCTATTTATGCTGTTTTGGGCAAAAGGCATTTTGCCATTGGTAAAAAGTGAAGTTAAAAAATTGATGAATGGTTCAAAACCACAAGGAACTGAAACAACACTACTGGTAAGAGAGATATAGGATATATTGAGTGAAACAAACCCGGTTGCATACAAAGTGTTGCATACAGTATTTACTAAGATAATTCCAAACATTCTAAAGTGAGTGAAACTGACAAGATGACCAGATGTGTAAAGAAATCATTCATTTTGAAAAGATTTAATAGGGTATAAAACAAGACAAATTTATGTTCTGTAATGACATGAGTTGCTAAAACACTCAAAAAGTACATTGCTACTATTGACCTAATCCAGAACTACTTTGGAGAAGGCAATATTAAGAAATCATGATGTTTATGACCTCTCGCCTACCAACTACCATTTTTGGCTGGAACAAAGTTTTACAACATAAACAATTTATTGATTAAAAGTCCTTAAAAATGCATTTACAGAATTAGTTAATAATAGTGACTGAAAATTCTATTCATAGTGTATAGAGAAATAGCCATCACGTTGGGAGAAGTGTATTGAGAGTGATGGATGGTATTTTAATTAATAAAAGATATTTAAAATAATTTATTTGGTTGTTTTTTATTTTATAACCAATTAATTAGGGAATTTAAATTATATTAATATCATGTTTAGATTGATATGTTACTCACAAATTTTTATCATCTCTTTTCTCTACTCTTGAGAGTCTTTGTTTGAGCTTAGTTTGTTGACTGAGGTACTCGGCATGCAGCCGGGCCAGCCTTGTCTGCAAGTCTCCCACCAACTGGTCTGAACACAAAAATAAATAAAAGTAGAGTGCCCTAATACATACTGAACTGATAATTTACCTATTCTGTCAACTTTGTCTTTAAGGGTTTCATTTTCCTCCTGTGCCTTTTTGAAGGCATCTTCATCCAATAGGCCATCCTTTCGCAGGATCTGACAACCCCTTTCCATCAGGCTGTGCCTGGCCTCTGGGTAATCCGCCAGAGCCTTCCACAGATCGTGCTTACCCAAGCAGAACAGATCCGAATAGCCCAAACTTCTAACATTGGCTGTCCTTCTATTTCCAGTCTTGTTTCCTGAGATAAAAAAAAAATTGGATTGAGATAATCCCAATCACTGCATTATGTGCAAACTGGTACCGGCAATGTCGAGCACGCTGACTTCGCCAAAAACACTTCCTGCACCGAGCGTTGCCAGGACAGTCTTCTCATCATCGGCCACGACGCTTAACCTTCCTCTTTTCACTATGTACATCTCCTTGCCCACATCGCCCTTTCGGCAGATGTAATCACCAGGACTGAAAACCTGTAAAAGTTGGAATTACACAAAAACTTGGTCTCATGTTGATGCAATTGTAGCAATTGCAGGCCTCTGAGTTTTTTGAAGCCTAATATTTAAAACAATTAAAAGTCCCATTTTACTAGAAATCAAATTTTCTAAGTACAATGTATTAGAAGAAAATCATCCACTGAAACAGGGACTACTAATCAAATTAGCTCTCAAACAGCCCATTATTACAATATATATATATATATATATTTCAAAGAATGTACTTTATGTAAGAAGTAATATTAATGGTAGGTAATATAATGGGCCGTTTCAGAGCTAATTTGATTAGGAGTCCCTGTTTCAGTGGTTGATTTTCTTCTATTATGTCGTACATCCAACAAGTCCTGTGGACAAATGTAGCACCACAGTTTGTTAGTAGGTGTGTTGGTGACTCCTCCGCTTCTTTGTAGAATCTGCACATGCCGGGTCAGATTATACCAATCTTCTTAAAATGTTCATTTAATCTGCCATGTCCCGTTAGGATTCAAAGATTTTTTGTGCTTCTTTTATGCATTCTGTTGTTTCTTTCCTAGCAAAACTTGCTAGAAGTTTCTTGGATTATTTGTGTTCAATTAATGAATCCCAATGTTTCTTCATTTTCATTTATTTTTTGTCTAACAAGGGTGGCATTATCGTTAGTACTGTGATCGCGAGAAAAAACGGTTTGTGATCACTGTGATCACATTTGTAAAATGTAATGGTAAATAAGGGTACAGATCAAATAATGTAAAAATTATTAAAACAATAAATATATCAGATCATCAGTTCGGCATGACACGGGCGTTGCACGGGTTTAGTCTATTCTGCATCCTTATGTAAAATTCATATCTAATAATTATGGAATAAAAGCTTCTTTCCATGTAATGTTACTTAATTTTCTGTTTCTAAATTATTTAAAAAATTATCTTTCAACCCTCGATTAAAATTTATGTGTATTAATTGCCTTAAGCTTAACAACATTCATGGTAGGATATATATAACAGAGAAAAAATATTCATGCAGAATTCTCAGAAAATAGTCAAAATTTGGATTTGGCTTCATTGTCGTGATTTTAGCGTTATAAAACCTTAGGTGCCGACTTTCTTAGTAGAAAAGAATATTCAGCGATCAGGTTAACGAAGCTTTTTTCAAAATCTAATTTTAGTCTCAATTAAATGATCATAAATGGTTATTTAGAGATTAAAATAATATTAGTTTTGGTGTATTAATTTCGTTATTGGTTAAGAGAAAAACAAACCTGTTATATGCGCAGAATATTCTAATTTGGTATGATTTAAAAACTAAATAAAAAATACTGTTTTTTTGCATATTTTTGTAAACATTACATAAGCAAAGTAGGACAGAACATGACAAAAACTTGGATTTGACTTCGTTATAGCGATTCTAGCGTTTAAAACCCTTAGATACCGACTTTCGCGGAAATCGGTGTAAGTTAATTTTTTGACTGATAATTCGATGACCTTCTTGCATGACTGACATTTGCAGTGTAAGCACTACCATAATTTTTCTCAAACGTAGGAGGCTGAATTTCATGGTTGATAATTCGTTTTAAACGAATTGGCAAGTGCATTTTATAATTGCATCAAACATTAAACTCGGAATGTTATTTCTATTTAAAAAACGTTTAATTTCTGGCACATAATTTGGCTATGTTGTGTATTTTCTTATAGAAATCTTTTATGTATTTTTATGGTACGTAGGTTGTAAAAAGCTACGTTTCTCTTCTTTCAAATGGTGCCACTTTTGAATTATAGTAATTTCAATCAGATATTCCGAGAATGACATAAAAATCAGAAAAATTTTAGATCCAAAAATCTATAAATTTAAATTCAAACAAAAATTTATAAATAGGGGTCTCTAGAGATGCTAAAACGAAATTTCATGTCAGTTTCACGAATAAAATTGTTTATGACCTAGTTTACTTGAAAAATATATATTTAAAAAAAATTCGTTATTAATAAACTTTGATAGCTTTTACTTTGCTTTTTATTGCAATCTACATAAAATATGCTATAAAACGATATATTCAGATAATTGATTTGAGGAAGAAAAACGGCGAAATGAAAATATAAAAAAAAGGAAAATTTCTACTTTCAATTTTTTTTTGCAAAACCAGGACATTGACAAGAAGTGGCGGATACGTTTCCGATATTTTGGAGTGTAGAATCACCAAAAAAGGTTTGGTCCAAATCCGTGACACACCAACCTGGTCGTATCCTTGTAACACACTCGTTAATAATGTGAATCCCTATGGCAGAGATGGACCCTAGGGCCCAGGACCTATCTGCGGTATAGCAGCCCCCTTCCTTGCAAGGGTGTCCGCACTCTCCGTCATTCCCACATGCTCTGTGACACAATAGAGGGTGGCTTTATTTTGCATACCTAATCTGTTTAGTTTACTTTTGCAATTTAGCATTTTTAGGTGATGATGTTTGAACTGAGTGCTTTGACGGCTACTTGTCTATCTGACATACTTTTGTATACCCTTTGGTCAAATTGAACTGAGTACATCTCTTAATCGCATGGCCAAAAAATATATTGTATAGGGTATAATGTTAGAATATATTTCTGTTATAAAATACCTGTAGCCTGAGTTTGAGGACTAGTTCTTCCAGTAGGCCCGGCTCGCAGTCTTGGAATATCCTGACTTGCCTCAATGTATCCAGATGGACATGGATGGCAATTTCAGCTTTCAGTTTGTCTGGCAAAGCTGCTAAGACTCGGTCTTCGTCCAAAGCCTGAATAACGACATGTCGTAAAATTATATAAAATTTCATTGCTAAATTACTGACCTGTTTGTTCGCCCATGTGTAGGCGAACCATCTGATGACCCTCGCTTCCAGTTCCTTTGACACTCGGCGGAAGGCCATGTACTGCTTAACGCCGTCCATTTTATTCTGGAACTCGACACGGGCCACGTTCATGTTACTGATCATACTGCCGATGTTGCCGACGATCGTGGCGAAAATCAGGACTCCGGCGAGGAAGTCGGCCACAACGAATAGGTACTCTAGGTCATTTTCCGGCTGGGGCGTCTCTCCTGTAATTATTAAAGTGTTACCATAAATTTTGCCGCCAAAAACATGCTATATCCCTTGACGAGATAGGCATAATTAAAAAATAATAATAAAACAACACAATGCTATGCACAATATTAAAACAAAGTGGTTTTGGGTATTTAGAACTTTTAGGCATTTTCTCTGCATACTTTATGTTCAGTTCAACTCATTGTTGCTAACAATGTCAAATAACTATTGTAGTTCTAACCTTTTTTCTTATGCATTCATCTGCATATTCTCTCTTGCCGAATATCCCATACAATTTTATCATTTCCTTTCTCACCTTATGCCTTCAAGTCCTTATTTTGTCATTTTATTTCTCACACTCTCTCTTTCTTCCAAAAATATATTTAAAAGAAAGACAATTACAAATTCACATAAGATGAAACCGTGGTAATTAAGACAAAATCTTTGGTCAAAAAATCATTAAGTACAGTTATTGTTTTAATTCTCACCTATGGTGGTGAGGGTGAGTGTAGACCAGTAGAAACTGTAGATGTATTGCCTGGACAGGGAGGAATTCTTTGTTCCTGTCAGGTTGTAGACCCAGTTGTCGGTGCCGAACCCAATGGCGTAGCTGATGGCGAAATAGAAGCAGGCGTTCCAATGGATCAGGACGATTATTGCAAATACCACCTTGCATATACGGAACGAGTTTGGATAGCCCGTCCTGGTCTCAGTGCGGTCGAAAAACTCCATCATCCTCGGCAGACGGAACAGCCTGTTGACACGCACGATCACCGGGCATGGTACCATTTTGTGGCATTTGCTCGGTGCCCACCATATGTAGAACAGGTCCGTCGGCAGCAGACTCAGCAAGTCAGTGACCCACCGCCTCGTCTCTATATAGTTTTGCCTTAGCTTACCGAGGTCTCTGACCATTATTCCTTGTTCCAAATAACCTACAAAAAATAAATATATAAACATCAAAGTTTTTATTATAAATTAGTGAGGATATATTGTTCATTCTTCACCCATTAAAAATAAAATAACAATAAAAATAACAAAACCGAGGAGGAGAATGAAGACCAACTTGAAGCAGTTTTCTCGGCGGGCTAACTCTGATTCTCATTCGTACCGTTAAACCTCGTCGACTTCAAACAAAAACCGGTCAAAAGTTGTACAACTTTAGTTAACAAAGGGTCCAGGAGTTTCTACACCACTGTCATTCACTCTGTATAAAAAGGGGTCCTGCATTGCCGAAGTAAATGTTCAAGCGGAAATGTTCCAAAGACACAAGTAAGTCTCTTTATGGACGATAAAATAAGAACATTTTAAAAGTACTAGTTATGAATTCTTTAAAAGAAGCGTTTCCTTATGTGTCATAACAATAACATTACAAATTTCCATATAAAACAATATAAAATAATAAATAGCTATCTACTGTTTGTACAGGAAGAAATAGTTAAAATACGTCTTTTTTTGGAGGAAGCAGGGTCTCCCTCTGGATCAGGAGGAGATGGCCGAGATGGCCCTCCTGGTTTATTTCAAAAACTATTAGCAATAGCAAAAAATGGCCTATACAACAAACCCCAAGTGAATTTTGGCTAGGAATCGCGAGGTGGTAACAGATAACGTAACTTTTTCATTTATTTGGGAAATGACACTAACTTTATTATTTAATTTTAACTTTGTTAAAAAATGCATTTTTGTAAAAAGAGTTCTTTTTTTCCCAAAAAGTAATATAAGCTAAGCGCAAACGCAACCCCATGATCCATACTCTATTCTGAGGCGATTCCTATCCCAAATCAACTTGCTAATGCTAATCGTTTTCGAAATAAACAGGGAGGGCCACTTTGCTGTTACAAAAAGCATTCCACCCTCACACGTCTTCCGTAGGTTATAACTCAGAAATGGTTATACATATCAAAATTTTCCTTTCAGTAAAAGTGCCATAAAATAAGCTCAAGAATCAAATAGTACAATAAAAATATTATTATTAGGAGAGAGGGGGAGAGGGAGAGAGGGGGGAGGGGAGAGAGAGAGAGAGAGAGAGAGAGAGAGAGAGAGAGAGAGAGAGACAGACAGACAGACAGACAGAGAACGCGAGCGAGCGAGAGAGAGTGAGAGAGAGAGGAGTGGAGAGGAGAGAGAGAGAGAGGAGAGGAGAGAGAGGAGAGAAGAGGAGAGGAGAGAGAGACAGAGAGAGAGAGAGAGAGAGAGAGGAGTGGAGAGGAGAGAAGAGAGAGAGGAGAGAAGAGGAGAGGAGAGAGAGAGGAGAGAGAGACAGAGAGAGAGACAGAGAACGCGAGCGAGCGAGAGAGAGAGAGAGAGAGGAGTGGAGTGGAGAGGAGAGGAGAGGAGAGGAGAGATTTTATTATGTATATACGATTTTTCTATGTTAAATGGGAAGTTAAATCTTTAGTAGACGTTTTTGCACGATTTTGATGTATTTTTGTACATTTCCAGGATTTTGAAGGTTTTTACGCAGGAAATTCCGATCTTTACTTACGAATCTCGGCATTATTGCAGGAAACATTTATGATGATGAACCGAGATCAAGAAATGGGAGCTTTTGTTCCCAAGCACTGCTGCCTTCTGGCTTTTTGAAGTTTATAACTTCTTAATTTAGTCAATAGACTCTATCCTTCTCTTAAGAAGTACTAGGTCCTTGACTGTCGTTGCAACAATTCCTTTCCCTGAGTTTTTGAACCCCAGGTTGTCTCCATTGAGCGGTTTTGTTTACATTTCAAGTCAACTATTAATCTTTATACCTGATTATTATATAAAATAAACAAATTAATACAAGTGTCCGGTTTTTGTTTTTGAGTGATATTTTTGGATTTTCTTTATTACCGAGTAAATACCCGAATAAGCATTTACACACCTTTTATTTCATGCCAGTAAATAATTCATTAATGATAGAATAAATGCAAATTAATTTATTTTAAAAGCATATGAAGTACTAAAAGTTTATTTTAGAAGCTGCACTTCTCCAGTTGAACTTTGTATGAACCCAAGCCAGACATTGGAGTATAATATCCATGTAAACAACCTTAGGGCAGAGAAAGAAAATGTGGAAGACCATAACATTCCGACAGTTTAATTAATTTGAAGCTTACTGCATAATGAATGGTGGCGAAGAGTAAATTGTAGCGCGGAGGTTGTAACAGCTTTATCATATTCTTTTTTGTGTTTGCTGATTTACGCTGACACAAAATTTGATAAATAATCAAGTTTTATTTGCCTTAAAATAAAGTGTTTCAATGAGACGATTAGTAGTTTATTAGTTGAATACAATTAGACTTATTTTAAAATGAAGTCTGATCATTTATGAACTGATAATAGTTTTATAACTATGCTATAATACAACGTAGTACAATATCTCGGCATATTCCTGTATCACGAGTTTACACAGGTACCTCCAGACGAAGGCTTCCCAACCGTTTTAGCCAGTAGACCTCTTTCGCAGAACAAAATCTAGCGCGGATCCCTCTCATTCCAGTATTTAAAATTACATAGGTATTTATGGCATCCTGTAAAGAGCGAACTTATGTTTTATTTCCTTTCCGTTAAGCATGCAACATACAATATCGTTAACACACGATTTTATGAGGGTTTCAGCAATGGTATAAGCTTTGCCTGCCTGTGTCACTCAATAACTTTATCAAGTGAGACTCTTCATGTGAGTTTTCATTAACAGGTTTTGCATTAGTTTTTATGAAGGTTTGAAAGGCAACCAGTTCAATACTTCCTCATGAAAAATCAGTCTGTTTCTTCCGGTGTTCTCGGTGTGTATCCTCACAATGACGTCGCCATTTAACTGGAACCATTGAACTTTTTGGAAGTACCTTCGCGTAAATCACACCCTGAGCTTTACTTTCGGCAGTCTTTATAAATCTCAAATTTAGAAGTAGCTGTTGACGTTTTTGAAAAAAAGCCCATGTTATGTCGGTTCGAATGCAGGGCCGCTGGATTCGAGCCCGGGTTTACCTTAACAGTGATGAGTGTCATCGCCTTAACGGTTTCGGACACCGACGCCCTTTAATACTTGTTCTATGTTAGTTTTATTGATTCAGTCTACGTTTATTGGTGTAATTATTAATATTTCTATATTGCCCGCCGTTGGCAAGCCCTACTCTAGGCTATATTAAAGGCAAGGACTTACGGGCTAACACTAACCTTATAGTTTCAAACTTTGATAGTTACTTTAGTGTAACTATTTCCGGGTGTCGCTCGTTTCCAAACAAAACTCAGTTCGAATTTGTCTCCGGAATCCAATTAACAAGAAGAACATCGAATTATGATAATGGCGTGACCCGATAGGGTGCTCTCTCGAGAACGGAATAAAATAATAATAACAATCATTGTTTATGCATTTTCTTACAAGACGACCCTCTGGATCTGGTATCGAAGGAGAGCGGAGTACAGAAGTAATATTTGCCTAACTGTGTATTTATTCTAGTGGGAATTTACGAGGCAGGGAGGGCCGGATAGTAACGATTGGATCGAAACCCAACAGACTGTGAGGCTGTAAATAATACTATCATACCTTGGATGGAGGCCAACACCCTCTTTTTCCCTTCCTGCTAGGTAAAATTCGATGGAATAAGCTTTCAGAAAAAGAGAGGTCGACGACCGATTCTACCGAACGGTACTTATATGCAGATTCTACAAGGAGAGGATGACACAAAAGGAAAAAATAAAACAAATGAATAATCTTAAAGAAGTAAATAGAACTATTTTGTTTACTATTGTCTAATCTAATTTAAAACCTGCTCCCACTTGGATTTTTTGTTTTCATTAATAAAAAATGTTCAAAATATCCAAAGAAAATAATTCTTTAATTTAAAAACAAAAACTATTGCAAAAAATTCTATTCTGAACAATATTTTTCTTTAAATTTTTATTAAGGTGTGTTTTTTTGTAGAAGTTGGATATTGTTAGTACTTATTTTATTATTATTATTTAACGCAAATACTAAGTGAGATTTTTTAACATTTTAATTTTAATTATTAACCTGCAAGGCAAAACTCTAGGATAACACCGTGAAATTTTATTCAAATTTAAATCGTAAAGTTTCTGCAAACCGCATTTCGTAACTATTGTTTCATCCTCTATTTTCAATCATACTTCATTGAATTTTGTTCTAAAGGAAAAGAAAATAATATTATTAAATAAATACTTGCAAGTACTTTTAGGTAGATGTGGAGATCATCAAACAGCTTAGCTTTCATTAAAACGTTTGGTCCAGATGGAGAGCTTAAATGCTTAAAGCTTGCCCGTTGAATGAAATCCATATCAGCGAATAGGCTGTCTCCGTGTTTGCTCAATATAACGTTTCTTCCTTTGAAACTCGATGGAAACGTAGAATTTATGTTCTCTATTATGTATTTAATCTTTCCTTCCATCCTTACGATTTATTTCTTTACATATCACTCAATTTTGTCCGGTTATTTACCCATGATATCAATATGAATAATGAAAAAACATTAATTGTTCAAAGAAAGAAAAAACGAGAAATATTTTGTTACTGAATTATATTGAAAATGATTAACACAAGCTGTTGAGGCAGTGTTGGTTGAATAGCTTTTCGGTTGAGAGGTTACATTGTGGTCTGAGAGTAGATAAACATGAGAAAGCTTTGGTGCGTGAGTATGTCTGTATGTGAGAGAGAAACAGATGAAGAGGGAGCAGCTAAAGCGAGAGAGAGAATGTTTTCACCTAGGTTCTCTCCTTTTCTCCACCACATCACTCATCTCAACCTCTTTTTCTCCTCTAACACATTTTTCATACCATTTATACAGGTTATTAGCTCTTTAGCGTAACATTTGTTGTTAAAATATAACATTATTTGCTAATAACATGGCATAACAACAAGTAGCATAACAGAATAACAACATTAATAGCGTAATGCCATTAATGTCGCTATTAATGTTAACATTAAGCTCGACTTCCATAGAAGTCAAACCTTTACGTTTTATATTTTGTTTATGCGTGATACTAACCATCATGACTTCTAGGTTGTCCGGAACTGTTGCTCCTAGTGCCTTATTATCTAATTTCAGTCACATTCCTCTTTTTCTATGTAAGTTTCTTCCTCGAAACACACTCATTTCTTCTCTAACACAATTAATTTAAATAAATTCAAATATAATAATCGTCTTTAAAAGGGCGATAATAAAGAAACTAGACAAATAGTTCATATTTGTAACTCTCTGTCTGTCCGTCTGTCTCTCTCTCTCTCTCGCTCCCTCCCTCCCTCTCTCTCTCTGTCTCTCTCTCTCTCTCTCTCTCTCTCTGTCTCTCCCTCTCTCTCTCTTTCTCTTCTCTCTCTATCTCAAGTTAATTTTTTATTTCTCCTTAATTATTGTATAAGTGGTCTTCGCAATCTCAATTTGCGAGGTTTTTCAAGTAAAACGATATTCATTCTCTCCCTCTCTCTCTCTCTCTCTCTCTCTCTCTCTCTTTCTCTTTCTCTCTGACTTTCTTCTCTCTCTATCTCAAGTGAATTAAAAATAAAAGAGGTCTTCACGACCTGCGAGGTTTTTTTAAATAATACCTTATTCATCCATTCATTCTCTCTCTTATTCTCTTTCTCTTTCTTTCTTTCTCGTTAATTTTAAAAGAGGTCATTTGCGACCTAAATATTAATTTGTGAGATGTTTTATAAACATATTCGTTCGTTCATTCTTTCTCTGTCTGTCTCTCTCTCTCTCCCTCTCTCTCTCTTTCTCTTCTCTCTCTATCTCAAGTTAATTTTTTCTTTCTCCTTAATTATTGTATAAGTGGTCTTCGCGACCTCAATTTGCGAGGTTTTTTTAAATAACACCTTATTCATCCATTCATTCTCTCTCTTATTCTCTCTCTCTTTCCTTCTTTCTCGTTAATTTTAAAAGAGGTCATTTGCGACCTAAATATTAATTTGTGAGATGTTTTATTATTCGTTCGTTCATTCTCTCTCTGTCTCTCTCTCTCTCTCTCTCTCTCTCTCTCTCTCTCTCTCTCTCTGTCTCTCCCTCTCTCTCTTTCTCTTCTCTCTCTATCTCAAGTTAATTTTTTATTTCTCCTTAATTATTGTATAAGTGGTCTTCGCAATCTCAATTTGCGAGGTTTTTCAAGTAAAACGATATTCATTCTCTCCCTCTCTCTCTCTCTCTCTCTCTCTCTCTCTCTTTCTCTTTCTCTCTGACTTTCTTCTCTCTCTATCTCAAGTGAATTAAAAATAAAAGAGGTCTTCACGACCTGCGAGGTTTTTTTAAATAATACCTTACTCATCCATTCATTCTCCCTCTTATTCTCTCTCTTATTCTCTCTCTCTCATTCCTTCTTTCTCGTTAATTTTAAAAGAGGTCGTTTGCGACCTAAATATTAATTTGCGAGATGTTTTATAAACATATTCGTTCGTTCATTCTCTGTCTGTCTGTCTGTCTGTCTGTCTGTCTCTCTCTCTCTCTCTCTCTCTCTCTCTCTCTCTCTCTCTCTCTCTTTGTATTTCCCTTACTCATGTAGTTACTCTTTCATTTCTCGAGTTCTCTTTTAGTTAGTCTAGTTCTCCTCTAACTCACTTTTAGTGTCCTTCGCACTGATTTTCCTCCCATTTTTTATAGTCTTTACTGTTTTCACTTATAGATTTTTTACTACCAAAATAGAAAGGAATGATGAAAAAAATTCAAAAAGTTATGATACTTTTGAAATACCAAATTACAAACCAAACCAGTTAAACTGCTTAGTCTGACTGAGTATATTTAGTTTCCCAAACTACTTTCATCCTCCCCTGAGAAATTATTTCTCATCAATTATAACCCATTATGATAATAAAGTCATCAGTCAATGTTGCTTTTTGTGGATGAAATGTTCTATTGAACTTTACCGTCAGTCCAATAATAGTGGCGTCGCTCGTCCTAACTTGAGTAACTCGGCACCAGGCCGGCTGTTTCCATTTGTTACTGTAATTAATTATACATCAAACTTTTTTTGGTACAAAACAAATTTACCGCTCAAACTTCATTGTCCGTTAAACCGGGGAGAGTATTTGTTGACCCGCGCTATGAATAATTGAAGTACAAAACTAGGTAGCCCATATCAAAAACAATACCAAAAACGACCGATTTCATCACTTTCACCACGAAGCACTTTTTATCGTCCGCCTGTACTTACTGTTAATCAGTGGACTAATGAACACTGTCCGTTAATGTAACGATTTCGACCTCATACTTTCAGCTGTCCAAAGACACTTGCAAACATGTTAATGACACTTAAACATTAAAAAAAAACAGCACATTATGGATGAAAAATTTATACGATGAAGTATTATTTTCATCGATAAGAAAATTAAGAGAATGTAAATTACGCCCCCTCATCTTTTAAATAAACTGTTTCTACCTGATGCCGAGTGGGTAATTTGCTGAAAACGATATGTAAAACGATATTGGCCAATAATATGTTTGGATAAGGTGGGGCTGTCTGCAAACATCAATTATGTTAGAACCGCCTGCCAGGACGAACAAGTTGGGCCAAAAATTATCATTACTATAAAACACTCTTTTAAAACATTGTTGTGTATTACTCGACATTATTAGAAATCCCTAACGGCTCTGTGTGATTTGCGGGTTGATGAACCTTTAATGTAATTTAATTTAATAACCTATCGACAAACACACCCAGGATAGGCATACCAGGATACATTCAAGTTAGTATGAAGTAGACTTACCTTCGTGAGCGTGAATAATTACGTCTAAAAAATAGATAAAATCACAGGAGTAATCGAGAGAGAACCAAACAATCGGTGTCAAATTGTTCAGCTCCCAGAAAACTGCCCTGCCGATAACGAGTACAAGGTTGTAAAGGATGGCTATGGTCACCAAAACCAACCACTGAAAAAAAGTACAGAAATTAACAATATTTAATGCATCATTGATCAAAAAATAATTTATATCAGGTTTTTTTACAGTTTTTCTTGTACGTATTTATCTTGAGGATGGTTCATTGACGTTTTAACAAGGAATGTTTGTACGATTAATTTATTTGACTGCGACGGAAACTATCTTGTAGGGTTTTTGCTTCCCCTTAAGCGAATTGTTCTTAATTGGCTTCCGCTCATTGTCAGTAGCCTGCAGCTGTTTTGTAAATTTAATCCTGTACTTTATCCCAGACTGTAATTAATACAGTGACCTGAAGGGTGTGTGTTTGTTTAATTAAATATAACCTTGTAACCTTTACTCTCTTTTTTAAATAGCTGTTATCATTTCAAACGCAGAATAATACAACCGAATAGAGCACGTACTTTTCAATTAGGTTTATCATCAAATTCTTTCATAGAAAATATTACCTATTGAAGGATATAAACACACAAATAATGCGTTTTTACTGGTAATAAGTCACATATTTAAGAAAGATGAAATATTACACCTTTTCTGCTATTTCATCATGCTAATAGAAAACTGTAATGACTGATGTAATTTTTGATTCAAATTATTTGAATTGTTTATTTACATTAAGGTAGTTTAACCAGTACTTGCTCATAACCATTAACCGTTAATATACTTTCTTCTTGGTGATGTATGTTTTGTACGATGTTTAGTTAATATAAAATATAGAAAATAGAAGGCATAAACCTTTCAGTTTACATATTATTGCTGATTACAAGCGTCGGGAATGTAAAAAATGCTAGTTAAAAAAATTATACAAACGAAAGTAAAATAGGATTTTTTTTACTGTTAAATATAATTCGAATTTGACTTTTTAAGACTTTTAACACTTTTCCTAAACGAAATGAACAATAAACAATGGGTTATTTAAAACCAAAACAGATCTTGTCATTATAACCATGTCTACTTGGAATGTCCATTAAAATTTCTCCTAACATACACCTCTCTTTAGAGCACTTCCCTCTGTAGAGGACATTTTCGAATTCCAGGATTGTTTTCTGTGGGTTTAATCAATTTTGAACTTCCATCCAGCGGACATTCATTCAGCCTTGTACTATAACTTTTTTCTCCTTTAACGAATAGCCGGGTAGCTCACGACCCTTTTTCCCGGGTTTGAACGCTGGGGTGAATCGCGTGTTACTTTTGTTTCCCATTCTTTGAATTTCTCCTGATGTATTGACGTCATGTTTTTCATTCGCTTTCCATAATTTGATTGTATGAGTGGAGAGGGGTCTCTTTTCGTAATCTCTTTTAATTTTGTACCCAAAGGCCCTGATATCTCTGTTTCTACAAATGTCCTCCGCACTCATTCATACATATCAAAACGAAGAACGTCCAAAAGAAAATAAGCGATTATTTCTAAAAATAATAACTTGTATCCATGTGATTTTTTTCAACTATGACATTGTGATTTTTGTCAGATATTTTTGAAGTAATGTTTTATAATTAATTTTTTGTGTAAATAATTGCTTTTAGTATGGCTGGATAGCTGTAATTATTGTAATATTTTCTTTCACTACTTTGAATTTGTTTTCCTCTCAGTCTTCCCCTTAGTGGCCACTTCTCTCTAACGGACAAATTTTGGTAACTCAAGGAGGTCCGTTAAAGAGAAGTTCTACTGTATAGTAAACACACTCGAACTGGGCAGCCGCCCATCCTCGTGCGGGACGGTCTCGCGTTTTCACTCGGTTAAGAATAGGCCATGCAAGGTTGAAACTCGGACACTTACTTTTGTGCCAAAGCCTGCGTTTGTGTCCCGCGTGTAGAGAAAGGTTGCTCAATGTGCCCTATCTAATTGAAGGGTGCAATACCTTGGCTGCATATAGAGAGCGAGTAGGATTGTGGAGAATATCTGGGTCCGATGTTGTTATCGTATACATATAGTAATGATATTGTTGTAGAACCTCTCTAAGTTGAGAGCGAATGTATTTATTAGCGTGAATGCGTAGTGGGGGCCTCAATTAGGTTAGTTATATAATATGTGACAAGGGTGATGGAGGAATGTCGAGTACTCGATCACTTAAACTGTGTTAATGGTATGTAAATAGGAAGTAATGTATTTAAGAGTTTGAGAGAGTACGAATAAATTCGGTTGAGAGATTGCGTTGAAGGCAGGAATGATGATAGCACTTGGAGCCCAACATCAGCCCCACTCATGAGACCCCGTACTACCAACATCCGGTGATTCTCGAGATCAGTAAAAAATCAATGAAATTTAGATTATTCATTTTACAAAGAACCATCATTAAATTTGACCTTACGCCAGATTTGAGTTGGCTGCTATGTTTCGCTCGTTTTATTTATATCCTCCTAACCGGATTGAATGTTCTCATCCGTTCTTAGGCAAGTAAAACGAACCTGTAGAAAAATATTTAAAAAAATAAAACTCACCCTGTAGTGGAACGGCTTGGACGGGTCGACGGCAAGGCAGGTTGATCCGAGGCACAAATTCGGCAGGCAGGATTTCTTCTCCTCTTCCCACCGTTCTTTCTTTACGACTTCCTTCTTCGGCTTCCTCCACTAAAACAGAATGAAAATAAAATAAAAAGTCACGCGATATAAAGTTTACCTAATTGGGTCCCGGTGTCCACTTGCTCTGAGCCCAACTTGCACGGAAATCCATTTATTCAAACAACCCTTGCAAAATTTTAATAAAGGGGGGAAACGGGAAGACGTCCTTTTTAACTACGGTTTATTAACTTTTGCCCAGGAGGATGCTGACAATTCATGATGATCATCGCCCCTTGGAATGAATTGTCAATAATATCGTTTGAAGGTGATGGGGTTACGTGCAAAACTTGCGATTACGTAAAAACGAGAAGAAAAAACAAGAAAATGTACTTTCCTTCGTTTACCGATTCAAGTAATTGGAGTTATTTTATACACCAAGAAAAAGAAGAATACAATTTACTTAATTAAAAAATATAAATAATATTCATAATAAAACTCCATTATTATAATTAAAATTTGTTATTTTAAAATGTGCCTTAAACATGATTTGGCTTATTTTTTATACCTACATGATGTATATTCAATTAAACTACGACTAGTTCCTGAGTTCAATAAAAAATGTATGTCTGTTTAATTAAGCCAAAGTTTGAGCTTACTCTTGAGTTTTTCTATCTCGTCCATTGTCTTTTTCATTTGGGTTTACTACCTGTTGGCATGAATATTGTAAATGTCTTAATCACCATTCTGTACATGTGGCCTGCTAATTACATTTTAATTTTTTAACAGTTACTTTATAATTAAAAGGAGTTTTGTTTGTTAATGTGGCTTTGTGTCCAAATTTGATATATTATTTTGATGTTATCCTCTTGATCACTGTGCTTGTTCAATAACCTAAAAATTTCGTTTTCACATTTGATGAGATAAATAAGGCGAGATAACATAAAAACGCTTAATTTTCAAAATAAGATTGAAAGAATAAAATTGTGTAAATATAATATCCTTATATTATGTATAGTGTATGGTAATGTGGTAGTACAGTATACATTATGTTGTAAATGATTTTGAGTATTCTACATCGGTCCTTTTCTTCGTTGCCTGCATTTTTATTGGTTGGGAAATGAGAAACCTACTCTTCTTTCTTCTTTGAAAACGAGTTAATCTGGATTGCATTCATACCGTCCGAGAGGACTTGACATTCCTCGAAATAATTGGGGAAGAAGTCACTCAGCCCACTCTAATAAATTACATTCAGATTCACCAGACTTTATTCACACTGCCACATATTAATTGATAATAAAAGAGGGGGTGATAATAAAAGCATGCCATTCATTCACATTAATAAATTGCGTTCATTCAACTGTCCCTGAGTTTTTAAAGTTTACATTTTAGCGGTAAATAGTTTTCAAATCAATTATAAAAGTTTTATTCAGTTAGTATTTTTTTTTAATTATTCAAGAAAAAGCCATCCTGAACATCAAGGATTCTTAATCGAAATTTATATATTTTCAGAAAGGTCCATTTCCTCATTTTTTTTAAATACCCATCCTTTTTTTTTTTTTAAATTATTTTATATAAAGAATTAAAAGAGGCCTTTTTTAAATTACACCATTATTCACCTCTTCACAATTATAAGTAGTAGCAGAGCAGCAGGGCGCAACTTGCACGGGTTGGAACACACACGTACACGTTTGCACACGCCACATTGTCCCATCCAACACCCAAAATGTTGACACAAGAAATCTAACTAGTTCAGATTTCGCCTTCAGCTTACCGTTTATTAGGTTAGACCATAAGGCATCTTTACAATTATCAACCAGTGCTGATAAATCCCGACCATTCATCTATTCCAGGCATATTTCGGCAATTACTTCTATCTAATAACAATACTCTAAAATTAAAAACAAAAATATAGAAAGAATCGTAGCATGTAGAATATAGATTACGAATATATAAATATGTAGAATATTCGTAAATATATGTAGACTGATATAATAACAAAAATATATAAAAATTAATGTTTGATTTCGTTAAACATTTTGTATCCAAACCACCGTATTTATGTATTAAACTTTCGTTTGTTTCTACTCCAGGGAAAGCATGTTTTTCATACAGTTATAAAATATCGAAGAAGCATATCTTTATCGAAAAACCTGCCAGGAAAGAAAGGATCGATGAATAGTTGGCATAAAAGGAAATGGGGCATCACGAGTTTTGTGAATCGGAAGGGCTAAATGATGAGTCTAAAAATGATATCACCCACGTGTTCGCAATTCAGTATTATCGAGGGTTTTAAGAACTAAGGCGGCTGGCTGTTTGAAAATCTGTTAATACGCTTTTCCCGCTGGGTACGATATTTTTAAAATGCAACCCCCATGATTATTACACACATCTTCCTCAAATTCATTAAAATCATTAAGAGAAAAGGTTGAAGAAGACTTTCACTTGAAGTGGAAAGGAGGTAGAATTATTTTCTACGCGACATACAAGGGTGATTTTCAACCTTTTCTTAAGAACATTAACTTAGCCAACCGGGAATACCATACTTCTAACGTTCTACGTCCCAGGGACGAGCTGAACCGAACACAAATCTTCAGAAACTTACCACCTAATAATACACCCCAAGAAATTTTTTTTATTGGCCTTATGATCTTGCATATTAGCCATAGTACGAATTCTTGTGTGTGTTCAAATTGGGGGTTATCGGGAAAAAAGGGCCAGAGGCGACGGTGGGAATCGAACCCACGACCGCGGCGTGAGAGTCTCTCATGCTAACCATTCGGCTACCGCGGTCCCCAATTGAACTTAATTTGAAAGAAAACAACTTCAAAGTACTAAAAGTCAAGTAGATGTTAAAGAAAAATCCAAGAAGCAATCGCCGACTTTCTTAGTCACCTTTATTGATTTCTCTAAAATATTTCGATTCGGAAAGCTTAGCTACTGCTTGATCACTTCGGATGATCTCTCAAGGAAAAAAGGAGGAATTAGCAAGGCAACAAGAATTGCAAACGAGTGATCTTTAAAAAATCGAATAAAGACAATGATGAAGTGGTAACAAAGGCGGAAATATTAAAAGAAAATTGTGAAGAATATTGGGGTTGCAAGGGAGGCAAAATAATAGGAAGAATAAAACGAAACAGGGGGAAGTTTTCATGTTTCTCGAATGGAGAAAGATGTCGACTTATTACTGTCTGGTAGAATGACCAAATTAAGAGAAAAAAAAGTATTTCACACATAAAAGCGCATTATAAACTTTCAACATGAAATGACTGCAGGAGTAAAAACTTCCTCTCGTCCTGGTTTACAGACGTCATGAGAGGGAACTCTGCATTGCCTTTGCAACTTTTATTCATAAGGGAAACAACACTGGGCGAACATTTTATGATTAATTCAGTGTGCTATTGTAAAATTAAGCAATTTTCTAAAATTCTCCGCTTCCCAAAAAATGAAAATTTATTATACAAAATAACAATGTTCTCTATCTGACGTTCCGTAGTGCCAGACCATTTCGGTATTTTTGCTGTTTTGATCTATCAGACGCGCATCAGCTTTTTTTTTTAACCAAAACAATAGAGATCGGACTGAATCGGACAAAAACCTCCAGAAATGCAGACTTCAAGTGGAAATTTTGTTATATATATAATCTATGCGTTGAGAATACATACTTTACAAATAGTGTAACTCTATTATTACAGTTTATAAAGAAGTATAAAAACATAAGTAACAAAATTCAGAAAAGGTTATTTCAATAAAAACAATACATAAAATATAGGTTTATGTGTTTGGTTTGAGCGCGTGTACTTATTAGTGTGAGTGAGAAGAAGCTGATGATGAAATTGAACGTCACCATCGCCCCTCCAACTATGTGTGTGCTTAGGTTCGATGGGGGAACATTTATAAAAATACCTAATTGACCCTAATTGAGGGTGGAATATTAATACTGTATATAAGTCGATGGTGGAATATCTTGTACTCCACCGACTAATCAGAATTAGTGCAATGCATGAATGTATTTATTACTGCGACTAATTTATGCAATTTAAATAGTATTAGGCCAGATTTAGTTTGCTAAAATTGCCTAAATGATTAACCCGTTTGGCAGGGAAGCGACAATCTTCTGGGCATTTTGGGTTAAGGGGGATACTATCCCATAACGGGGTGGGTGAACTCCTTGATGTTTAGGCCCTAAGGTCGGCACATCGGGGAGTGACAACCTTTCGAGGTGAAAGTCCGAATAACCCCGGTAATAGGTGAAGAATATTTAAAGTAGGGGAACTTCCAGGCAAAATGTAACTCTTTTAAATATGATTAATTTAATACTTTTCAAGTTTTCGACTCTAATTTCACAAAATAATTTGGAGTAGACGATGGCCAAAACAGTAGATTATTGATGATTTTGGTTCGGATTACTTCAGCTTCTATATATCAAATTATCTAAATCCGAATAATCTAAATAGGGCAATTTCCAATTTTCAGTCACTTAGATTACGACAGATTTTATTAATGCATCAAATAATCTTAATTTCGTGACCCAAGAATCGGATTTAGAATTAATTTGGAGTCATCTTACATTGACAGATGCCAAATTTGCTTTTGAAATAAAGTGATCACTAATTATTAACAAGTCAGGACTTCCCAGAGGCAGCCAAAGTGACTCCTGGATAAACTTTGGAATTTGGAAATACTCTTATAGTAAATAGGCACCTTCGTTGAACCCATTTTTCCTTACGTAAGGATCTCGGTTGAGTTCCTGACACATGCTCATTACTATATTTCTGAAATATAAAATTTGTCGTTTTGTATTGTTAATCCAAGATTATAAGAACGTAGTGGCAGTGATTTTCCATTAATAAAGTATACTATGCCAAAAAATGTATAGTTGGCTTAAAAGGACGTTAATTATTAAATTAAAATATTTGAAATAAAACAGTTACTCGTATACCAACACCCATTATGAATTCCTACCGTTTGTTACCCTAACCATCCCTTACATTTTAGCTTACTAACCCAATAAAATAAAATTTCTAACAAAAAGTAATCAAATATTTGGTACACAATACTAAGAACAGAAAATTACAAGCAAAAGTATTGGACAAAAATTATCTTATGTTAAGAACATTATTAATATAAGATCCTTATATATTATCATCGAAATATGATCTGAACGGAAAATCATTCTTTAATGGTATAACTGAGAGGTGGCCTAAAATTTGCCATCAATGCTTTTAGGAAATGATTTTTCCATCTCAATCAAATATTAAATGAATAGTAACATTTTTATACATGCTTAATTAATTCTGCAGTCTAAAAATTTAAATAAATAGATAAAACTAACTGAAAAAGAATAATTCACTTAAACTAAAACTAAATAATTCACTTATAATTCACTTAGATCACTGGTTAACACTAAATTAAATTTAGATAAAATGAAATTGTTATTAATTTACTTAATACTAGAACAAAATAAACAGATATAAGTCAATGTAAATAGATTTGTATTACTTATAAACTATGGTATACATCCAATTAGAGTTAACTTAGTTATCTTTAAATAGTCGACCGATTGGTCAACATCAATCAATGTGCAATTAAGACTCCAATTTCATCCCGATCCGACTCGCCAGATCATTTTATTAATCTATAAATCCGGGTTGCGATTGGGTGGTAAATGGCCGGGTCACCAAACTGTCTGACAACAAATGTAGCTATATGTTTTGCCAGTAGAAAATAAGATCTAATCAATTCCAGCATCGTAAATTATCCGGAAAGGCTGCCGAATGGAAATGGTAAATTAACTGAGACGTCTATCTAGGATTTTATCGACCGGAGACCACTTAGTGGCCCAATCTCAGTAATTACCGTGTTAACGTTTAATCTCTCCTGGACCGGAAGGGGAAGGAGAAGAATCATCTCTTTAAAAAATCAGAAAAAAAAAACAGAATCAAGAATCATCTCCTTAAAAAGGATTCATCCCTTTTGGTTTAAGAACTTCGCTAACCACAGATGGAGACTAGCGAAAGACTGCAATTTCGTCAAACATGATCTAATAATTACTATGCCCAGGTAATTTGCGATCCAGATAACTTTGCATACAAAAATACTCGTAATTTTAAATGAGCATCAGCAGTCGGAGTAATTTTCGCCAGTCTTTTATAATTAAATTATCCAGGTCCGGCGATTCACGATTCCCTGCCAGACTACTCGGCTCTTTGACATGGACGGACTTAAAGCTTTTCCTTTTATGCTGAGATATTGCTTATTCATTATTCATAGCGGACGTCATTCCTGCCATTAACGGCTTTATGGTGCCGCCCGACCTTCTCTCCGCTGCGTGCTGAAAACAAGATTTTTACTGATTATATTCAATATCGGACTGTCAAGTTGTAAGATCACTTGATCTAGACCAACTTCCAAGTACATGAACGATAAACTGAAGCGCCATCTTGTTAAAGCAGTGCTTTGTTGATATCCGTTAGGTCAAGTAAAACATTTTTATTTTGACTTTTGTCCACTGTCATTTGGTATTCGTAATCTTCAAATCCTAGCTTTAAAGACTTTAAAGTTGTAGGCACAGGCTTTTGATAGGGCCTGACTCCGGGAGGTGAGGTGCAGTATCACTTTGGTTGCATTCTTCGTCCCAATCTTTAAATTATGTGTACTGCTGACCTACCTAATACCACCTCCGTTAACAATACCGAAATTGTATCTTCTAACGTGAATCCCATCCAAGCTACATCCAACGTCTAAGAACGTCTTGAGCTTATCGAAGAATGGTGCAAAATGTGAAGGACAAGACTGAATGAAGAAAAATGTCCTTGTCATCCTCCGTGCATCAACAACAAAGAGATACCGACTTCCATTCAGGTCATATACTAAGGACTATACCTAGACAGTAGATTGATTTGGAGACTTAAGAGACAACAATTTAACAGTAGATTTGTACAACAAAGAAGAATTCTAGGACCGAAGGACCAAAATTCGTGTTGACTTTCAACTCTAAACTAACGCTATACAAGATACATTATTACTTTGTACTGTGGGGTTCTGTCATGCCCTTCCAACATCCAATCAAAAGTCCTCAGACAAATCATCAAAGCTCCTTCCTGCGTGTCAAGAACTTCACTATCTACAACGACTGCAACCTTCATTTCGTCCGCGAACTGATCTGCTCTCGATTCCAAAAGTTTCACCTACCACTCGATCTATCCTAGCCCTACTGTCTGAGCCCTCTCTTCACTTTTCCACATTCCCACCCCGACAACTCGCCACGTCGCTTTAATCGACGATGGCTTCGTGACCTACTTGCCTCTTAATCTCTTACACTGAGTGCCAGCATTGGCTGGTTTCTGATAGCATGTTTACACTACTAAACTAACCTTATACAAGACGGTTAGGTCTACGAGCATTTTGGAGTAGAACTGTGGTGGTCTGCCATAATTATACATGTATATATGTATATGTATATGTATATATATATATACAGGGTGAATTGCTACTCGTGCTACAAACTTCTCCAGTAGATTCTTCACCCTAAAATGAACAAAAAAGTTCATATTGTCCATGGTCCGATTCTCAACCATTTCAGAGTAATTTCGCTTTTTATCGATTTTGAAAGATATCACGTCCTGGCGTCGGAAAATCGTGATATCTTTTAATCTAAACATTTCTCTTAAAATCTATAAGCACCGTTGAAATCCCCGTTAATTTTTAGAGAGAATCAAAATCATAATTCCATTGAAATTTTTTAATTTAATTTAATGCCCATTTAGTATGTAATGCTTAAGAAGTTTACAAACAGCTAGAAGGTCAAGGAAGAAAGACCCAAACGTTTTGCCACCTTCATCTTCTTATTGAAAAATTAATTAATTACTCCTTTAAAATGATTTCGGTTCATTTCGCAGACCATATGGAAAAATTTCTTTTTAGGTTTGATGCAAATTGTACGTGTGTATGATTTTTAAGACTCGGATTTACATTATACTACTGCTAATTTTGTATTATTTGTTGTGCTATACAACCACTTCAATGACGGTTATGCCATGCAATATTGTTTCTTTTAAATTTGTTACACATAAAAAATAACATGTTGATACTAAATACATAATTTTAATTAGTAAATTTTAACGGAGAAAAAATCGGTAGTAAACAGAACACCATGCCTAATATTTCTTAAGTAACAATGAGCAGATGGATTAAAAATTGAATGTCTTAGGTCTGAAATGGCTCACGTTACTAGTTATTCTTATCGATATTGTCTAATCCTTATAAAAATATTAAAATTAGGGCATTCAATTTACGAGAATTTATTGAATTTAAATTTAAATCATCATTAAGAACATCACAAAAATTAATAATTTTACTCACGCTAAACGATTTCCGTAGTCGGTGAAGCCCACGGTGAAACCTTGATCTGACCGAGACAGGGTCTCTGCTGACCTGAAAAATATACGAAATATTTGTTAAAACTTATCAGTTAAAAATTTAAAATACATTATTAAAGAGCAAAATCTAATGTCCAGAAGCCATAAATACTGGAAGTGTCACTTATCAGATTACTTGAACTTTACACGACTTTATTCCATAAAGGCCCTCGTATCTCATAAAATCTTTATCTTACAGTAAATCAGATTATAGAGGTGGACAGAGCATTGAAACACCAATGAGATTCATTTGCGTTTTTATTGTAATCTTAAGCGATCAAAATACAAAACGATTACGAAGATAAACTTTTACGAGTTTATAACGTTCTTAACTAAAGTTAAGTAACATTTTCTTGGCCTCATAAATACTGACTCCTTTCAGAAAAGTTTACGCTACTAATGAGCATGTAACAAACGTACTTGTGGGTCGGGTCGTTAGAGAAGCTCCTGCGAGCTAAGAACATCACTGAACGATGGCTTCCCTCGAGAGTCTGAAACGAAAGGAAAGGATCGAGTTAATCCGATTGAGGATCAGCCATACCCGAATGACACACGGACACCTGCTTTTGGCCCAAGACTCGCTCAGATGTCCCGCTTGTAGAGAAAGGTTGCATAGTGTGTCACATCTAATCGAAGAGTGCCATGCTTAGCCCCGTACAGGGAGCGAGTAGGCCATATAAACATAACAGTGGTACTCGGGCGGACGGGTCAAGTGTTGGGCCCCCCATTTCCTACTTCCTCACATATAAGTGTATATATGTGTGTTTATTTATTTGTGTTTTATTATATAATGTGGAATTTGTAATTACTTAACTAATTGTGAGTGTGTGAATAATGAAGAGTGACCGATGACGGAATGTCGATAACCCATCGGTCGTAATAATGAGTGGGAGGCTGAAAGGACTTTAGTGTCAGTGGCCCCTGATCAGAAAAATAAACTTAATTTCTCAATGACAGTGATCATTAATTTTCAGAAAAATTATTCATTAATATTCAAAAACGTTGAAATTTTGAACAATTATTTTCTGCTTAATGCTTTCAATGCTATTTCCATTGGTGTAATGAAATGTTCTGTAGGTTTAACATTTTATGAGATTCTTAGAACTTTATGAAATAAAGTTGTTAAAAGTTGAAATATCCTGAAAAGCGAAATATCTCGACCACAATTGGGGATTAGAATTTGAACAGTAGGGACTTTTTAGCTTAATTCAACATAAAGGATTACCTCCTGGAGAATTAACCTCCGCCCACGGGACACCCAATATAATTCGAAAATATAATTCTAAAATTTCCCAAGAATAACTGATTAAAATACAAAGGTGCCAAATCACCGACGACATCATTTCGAAGTTCAAACTTTTTAATTAAGATCTTTTAATTAAGAAATAGCTGCGGTAGCGGCAATTTGACTCAAAACAACTGGTGCAGAGTGTCGAAATTAACCATTTTCACCACCGGTTTCCGCAATTACTGCGGTGCAAGAAAATTTAAAAAGCGACAAGTTATACAACAAAGAGACTGGGAAGTTAGGCTTTACAATGATAGATTTAACAAAACGTAAATAAATAAGGAAAATATGTTTGGAATTGAAAACGAAGACTTTTTAGAGATAATTTTTAAATAAGTTTGCGTTTTTTTAAATAACTATAACTAGTCGCATATACCTTCCTTTAGTTACCCACTCCGCTACCTGAGGGTGTACGTCGACAAATGGATATAAGAAAATACCATACCTTATTAATTATGCAACGCTAAAAACTTGCTGGAATGTGAAATGGTGGGGAGTGAAAACCAAACTAATGATTTGGGAGGTTAAAGGAGAGACTAATTGAAGGTGCAGTCTCCGAAATTTGAACATATTTATTGTAGATTATTGTAAATTCCAATACGATTTTTCTCCACACATTGTACACCGCACATATTTCTACCCTTCCTGAAACGTTCCTGACCACGTATACTGATGACACTGCCATCCTTAATCTTCATAAATATCCTGTCATCTTACTTATCCTGCAAACTCACGTCTCATCCCTTGAGCAGTGGTTGAAAAGGTTGAAGATGACAATAAACGTGCAAAAATTTACCTTCAACCTTCAGAGAATAAACCTGTTCCCACCTATAACAGTATCCCCCTCGCATCAGCTAATACAGTAGTATCTTGGGATGTAAATGCCAAATGCCTTACATGGAACCAACAATTACAAATACTGTACTTGGAATTGAAATAGAGTGAATAAATTCAAGTACAGGTACATAAAATTGAAATTACAAGTACAAGTCTAAGTACTTGTACTTGATTACTCAGGGTGCAATTACATGCACTTCAAGACTTGTACTTGTTAAGGTCAATTACTCAAGTACTTGTACTTGTAGTTAGTAATTTTACTTTAAGTACAACGAGTACTTTCTTTTTTTGGAACTTTACCAATGTGATGGATTTGTAGATACTGCGCAAAAACTGTTTTTACGGGGCTTTTGCTATTTAGTCACATTTTGTTTGGATTATTTTGAAAGACATAAACTGCCCGCTGTTAAACCCGTACTTAGCAATCTGTGAATTTAATAGCTTGAATTTGAATTCGCATTCACATTTTGAAGCTACTGTGTGGAAATACAGTATCAATAAAGACATATTATATTGAGTTGATTCTATATAATTACAACATTATAGAAACACAATACCATAAAACCATATCAACTCCACTTGGTCTTAATATTTATAAAGTAGTGATTAGGTTCTGCAATGTCCAAAGAGAGAAAAAACCCGTAAGAAAGTTAATATTGGAGATGAGGGAATCGTCTGAAATTTTTATCTTTGAATATTTTACTAATGATATTTGTGTGTGTATTTGTTTGTGTACACGAGTATCTTAACGTAAGAGTTCGAGTTTTATTTCATTTGTCTCATTTAATATATAGGATTTGATTATTTATTTAATTTAATAATAATATTTTTTATTATTTGTTTAAACTTATGATGTTTTTAATCCATAATAAAATTTTAGTTCTAAACTAGAAAACCATCTCAATGAGATCTCTTAAGACTTTAAATGTATAAGATCATACATTGATCTTTTATATTTGTTAAGGGAATAGGTAGTAATTGTAAAAATTTATACAATGTATGTATAAATATTTGGTATGAGATTACTTAATTATAGCGACTTCGGTAAAGGCAATTTGAATAGGAAATGATTGATTGTGAGTGAGAAAAGAATAAAATAGAATGAATAAGCTATAAGGTTTTTTTTGGCGTTATGAACTATGCATATTAGCCATGTGACGATTCATATATGTGTGTTCAAATTTGGGGGGGTTATTGTGAAAAAAGGGCCAGAGGCGACGGTGGGAATCGAACCCAAGACCGCGGCGTGAGAGTCTCTCATGCTAACCACTCAGCTACCGCGGTCCCCGAACTATACGGTAAAATTGTTTAAAAACATTGGTTGGGAAAAATTATTACAAGTGTAATTCAAATTGAGGTAATAATATTGCGATATTAATAATTTACAATGACAACAGTTTCAACTACAACTACTTGTAAGGAAGTACAAGTACAAGTTTAAGTACAAGTAATTGTACTCAGGAACACACAAGTACAGGTACAAGTACTTGTAATTGTATTCAATGTTCACAAGTACAAACACAAGTACTTGTACTTGTACTACCAGTGTCAAGTATTTTACTTGTAGTTGTTCTCGCTGGAAATCAAATTGCAAGTACTTGTACTTGCAATTACTTTTGAAGAACTTGAGACTTTTAATTAACTTCGTTGTCCCGCCCTTTCTTTCATTGGTGTTCCTGAATTAATACATTCACACTTGAAGGAAGTACTTAAGTACAATTGTACTTAGGTTCTCACAACTCTGGAACCAACACACACGACTCAAAAGTCGAGAACTAAACAGACTTCTTAAAAAATTGCTGGAAGAACGAAATGTACAAACGAATGTCAGTCCTGACCGCTCCTTCAACAGATAGTTAAACGACCGGTCTTATAAGACACATTGTTGAAAATATTAAAAAATTTAATTAAACTTAAGTTTGAACAGGGGTTGCAACTGAGTTTACTCGATTCAATAAAATAATTTATTAAAAAAAAAGTAAACGTTGATTTCTTGTGATAAATAGGATGAAGCGGCATTTCTAACTATTGTCAAACAATTTTTTAAAAACATAAAACAATTTTTTGAATGTCTGTCATTTGCCACATCAGCGTCTATCAATTTACGTTATTGAACAAACATTAATCACTTTGTTATGCAGATAAAACAAACAACGTGAAGAGACTGCAAGAAGGGAAGCTCGTCTTACAATAATGATGATCGAACTGCTGACAGTATTGTTTGAGCTTAAATCATATACATTTTAAGTTGATTGGTCGGCATAATCCTGCTCCCATGTAACACGAACGTTTGGGAACATTTCCTGAGAAAGGCTAAGAATTTAGGTTGATCGTTATATCCCTGTTTCAATCAGGATGGATGGTAACAAATTAATTCTAACGAAAATGCGTTGGTTTTAATATTTCCTTTTAGAATAATGCTCACGTTCAAATGCTTCCAAGTGGGAACATACATTTGCCGATTAAAGACAAGCTTGATCTATTTCACTGCTTTCCAAATAATCCATATCAGCATCAAGGTTGTCGGACCTCATGATTTTACGTTATTTACAAAAATAAGTATTATAGCAAAATTCATTAGATTTCGTGGCCCGATTGACCAAATAAGATCTTTTAATTAATTAATCTTTATGTAAGGTATTGGTTGAGATAAAAGGTCAGTGTCATGAGCGGGATTCGCACCCAGCCGAAGGTCGTGGGTTCGAATCCCGCTCGTGGCACTGACTTTATATCTCAACCAATAACTTACATAAAGATTAATTATAGCAAAACTTGAATGTTTTGTGTGACCCAACTATACATGTATAGAAAACAAATAGAAAGAATGACAACATTAAATTTATTTTAACGTTCTACTATAACTAATAATAGATACTGAATTCTCTCTAAAC